GCGGAGGTCGGCGGGCGGGTGGGCACCTGGTCCTTCTCTTGCGGCCCCAGCATTTGCGGTGACAGCGAGTCACCGCGCCCCGAAGCTGGCAAGTCCGAGCCAGGCCCTTTTCCGAATTTTGGCGAAAGCAGTCACGGTTCTGGAGTGCGTGACACACCCTTGCTGAGGAAAGAGCCAGCTTGTTGAGGTTCCCAGAACTACAGGCCTTTGCATTAAGCACACCCTTAAGTGTTGCAGCTGAGAGCTTTTCCATCAGGAGCCAGGCAGAGGGTCCATGCAGGCCTGGCCTGCATCCCAGGGAGCCCCCACCCAGCTCGGTGTTTGGTGGTGCCATCTGCCCAGAGAGGTAGGGCCGTGAAATGTCTTGATTTTTAAAGTATGTTGTGGGCCAAGCAAAGCATGTCTGTGGGCTTGGCCTAGACTGCGGGCTACAGGTCTGTGACCTCTGCTTATGCAAAACACCCTGGTAGCAAACCTGTGAGCTGGGTTTTCCAGGCTCCGCTCAAGTAGGTTATTTGTGGAAAAGGAGTAAGATTTCTCAGGTCAATTCCTTCTTTAGTAATACACGCATCTTCTCTCGGTTGTTCTGGTGCCTTGAGTAGGTTGAGCACTGTTATAAATCTTTTTCTCCTGCTGGGCGGTGTTTGTAATTTCCTATTAGAAAACAAACCATGGAACAGCACCTTATTAAAGGGGGCACTTTCACAATGAGTGCTATTTTCATTCTCTCTCTTCTCTGGGGTGGATACTGCTGGGGCTTAGCGGAAACCTGATCATACAGAAATGTTTATTATGCTGAGCTCAAATGTCAACCAGTTTGTCAAAAAGAATTGGGGGGCTAGGGACATGACTTAGTAGTAGAGTGCTTGCTTAGTACTCATAAGGCCCTGAATTAAATCCTCAGAAACACACACACACACACACAAGAAAGTATAAATGGGCTGTTTTCCTGGCCATAACAGAGTTGATTGCGCAGGCATGTCCTGGAGGTGTTGTCTTCCGGTGGGGCCAATGACCCCTTTTGGGAAACACCCCCAGCCTGGCACCTAAGCCAGAGTTGCACTGCCTTCTGCCACCTTGTGTGATTGAACCCAGGGCCTTCACACTGAACTTCATACCCATCCCTTTTTAAAATTTTGAGACAGGGTCTTTCTAAGTTGCCAAGGCTCGGCTGAAACCTGTGATACTTCCACCTCAGCTTCTCACGGTTCTGGAATTATAGGTGTTCATCACTACTCTGGCTTTTTTTTTTTCTCCCTTTAAAGCTAAGACTTGTGTTGTTGGGACCCCGTGTATTTTTAGATTGAATAGGAGTTTCATTGGTGAGAATATTTTGGCATCTGCCCACTGGGTGGAGGATACTTTTGTTCCTCAGGCACTCACTTCTCCCCACCTCCTGGCCACCCAGGCAGAGAGGCCTTTCACTCGTGTAGGTGGTGGTTTTGTACCCTCTACTCTTGAATCCTAAGCATTGGTAGCCAAGTGAGATTTCCCAATGCTCTGTGCTTGACCCATTTCAAGAGTCTGCCATTCAGGAGCAAATGCTATTTTGTCCTCTGGCTGGAGGCTGTCCTTCAGGACCCTTGAGATAAAAATTTTAAATCTGAGACAGCTGGTTTCCACAAATGGGAGCATGAGTCATTTTCTACACTTTCCTATGGATGTGGTGAAACCAGGACATTCCCTGTTAGAAAAATCGAGCTTGGTGCTGTAAGGGATGTGGCTCCTTTGAATTTTCATTTCTGGCCACTGATGTGAGGCTACATCCTGTGTCCTCAGGTCCAGCCCTCCTGGGAACCCTTCTGCATCACACAAGTTTAAGGAAGTGTGTGACCGTGAAACAAGGCACCATGAAGATCGAGCTACTACCTGCCCTGACTGACAACTACATGTACCTGCTTATCGATGAGGATACCCAGGAGGCTGCCATTGTGGACCCAGTGCAACCCCAGAAGGTGTGAGGCTCTGCCTGGACCCCTGCGCCTTGTCACCCAGCAGCACGTCTTCCTCCCCATAGGTTACATTTGTATTGTCCTTGCTGCTCTGTCAAACCTAAGTGAAGACCATATCTACTTAGTTTTTGGAAAACAAACTAGGTCCTTTTGGTACTATCCAGACACTCTGTTAAGGGGGCCTTCGTCTTTGACACCCTGTGCCAAGACTTTCATGAGTCCTTCAGACTCGGCTCTTCCTCCAGGCTTTTGCCTCAGGGCTGACCTCAGAGCTGGATGGGTTCAAGAGAGGTCCACATGGGACCAAGTCATCACACTGAACAAGAGGGAAAAAGGCCACCTTCCCTCTGCTGTCCCAGAGTGGGGCCAGGGAGCAGGGGCAAGTGAAGGGCCAGGAGTGTGACAGACCTTTGTGCTGCTTCCCTTGTGGCCACAGGTTGTAGAAACAGCGAGGAAGCTTGGCGTTAAGCTGACCACAGTGCTCACAACCCACCACCACTGGTAAGTGCTGGGTCCCTGGCTGGCCTCTGGTTCTGGAGGCTCTTGGGGGTGGGCAAGGGTCTGTCCCTCACCTGGGGCTAGGCAGAGGCCTGGCTGGTCGTGTGCATGAGGGAGGCCCCTGAGAAGGTTCTGAGCACCAGAGCCCCTCCCTTCTTCCCTGTAGGTTTGTGGGCCTCTGGGGCACTGACCCCCGGGGCCCTGAGTATGGGGTCTGCTAATGCAGCCACTTCTTGGGGAGATGCATTTGGCCTGCGAAGAACGGAAAGGACAGGGCAGTGTCAGTGTTGCTTCCCACCTGTCCCCTTGGAGCCTGGCTTCTTTGGGCTCTGAGAGGACCCCAAGCAGCTGCCTCTCATATCTCCTGGGCTTCTGAAATGGGACATTGGCTTCCATGTTGGGGAAAAAGAGCCTAAACATCAAGTTTTGTTTGTTTGTTTGTTTGTTTTAATAAGTAGGCATCTTTCCAGAGGTTTTTTCCCTGTTTAAAAAAATATATATTTGAAATCTAAAGGAGAGAAAAGAGCTCCTGTATTTGGTGTAGTTGCTTTGTGAAAGCCTTCCTCTTGACCTTTTGAAACTTATAATAAGCAGGCATCTTTCCAGAGGTTTTTTCCCTGTTTAAAAAAATATATATTTGAAATCTAAAGGAGAGAAAAGAGCTCCTGTATTTGGTGTAGTTGCTTTGTGAAAGCCTTCCTCTTGACCTTTTGAAACTTTTGAGGCTCTTCAAAGGTAGAAGTGTTTATGTAGCACAAGGTCCTGAGTTCAATCCCCAGTACTAAAAAAAAAAAAAAAAAAAAAAATCAGTGATGAGTGAGAGCAAGGTGATGTTGTCTCCTTGTGTGACAGGCCTCTTTCCTTGGGGCAGAGGGTAGGGCATCAAGCTCACTCTGCCGCCCTGGGCCCCTGACATGTAGAGGCAGGTGTCTTGTCTAGTTACTGGACCCCTGGAGTGTGGTCTCACAAGCACAGGAATCCATGTGGGAAGGCTGACTGCTGTACTGACAGGAAGTAGTTGTTCCCTGGTACTGGGAAAGCCTAAGCTGAATCCCTGAAATGGAGCCTGTAAGTGTGGGAGGCACCCAGCTTAACCAGGCTGGAAGTGGATCGCCATTCAGCGGGCTCCAGGTGATTCCCACTTGCCTGGGATGATCCAGGTGTGGGCAGTTTGCTTCCTCTGCTCCAGCAGCAGCGCAGTGTGGAGGTGTCTCGCTCAAAATTGAGCATCAGGGATTGTTGTTTTCCCTTGAGCTAAATAACGGGAAGCTTTTCCTGTATTAGAAGATGTGTTTCTACTTCTGAGGAACATGGTGGGCAAAATAAAAACTCCATTTGGTCAGGGTTTAAAGGGAAGTGAGCAGATCTCTTTCATCCAGCGGGCTACCCCGTTTCTCCCGTTTGACTTCCAGGGACCATGCTGGCGGGAATGAGAAGCTGGTCAAGCTGGAGCCGGGGCTAAAGGTGTATGGTGGTGATGACCGAATCGGGGCCTTGACTCACAAAGTCACCCATCTGTCTACACTGCAGGTAGGGAGTGAGCCGACAGAAGAAAGGATTCCGGGGTGGCCCTGCCTGGACCCTAGGCCCAGGACACAGTTTGGGGAGGGGACACAGGGAGAGCCTTTCACTTGAGGAGCTCCCCGTGCTTGCAGTCTTTTCCATCTAGTACATAGCAAGAAAATCAGTGTGCAAAGTATGATTGGATGTGGGGGTGCCATGATGCTTGCTCTGAGTAGACAGGAGATTTTTTTTTTTCTTGGTCAGTGCTGGGGATAGAACCCAGGGCCCTTGCATTGAGCTACATCCCTAGACCTTTCTGAAATTTTAAAATTTGAGACGGAGATGCTAAGTTGCTCAGGCTAGGCTCAAACTCCTGCCTCAGCCTCCCAGAGTGCTGGGATATAGGCTGCGCCACCTTGCCAGGCTGGACTAGGGAATTTTATTTTATTTTTTGGTACCGGGGGTTGAACTCAGGACCTTGCTCTTACAAGGCAGGTGGCAGAGTCACTTAGCTAAATCCCCCACCTGGACTAGGGAATTTTAAAAAGGATCGCAGGGTGATATTTCCTTCCTGGATGTGATGGTGGTGGGATTATACTGAGAGGTGTGTGTTGAAAATGCAACAGGAATACTTGGTGAGAGTGGTCAGGATGGGAACAGTACCTGTATGTTTATGTAGAAAGTGTATTCATTTGGGGAATCACGGTGAGAATGGCCAGGGCGTCTGTCTTGTGGTGTCTGCCTTGTGGCGTCTGCTCTGTCATAGGTTTGGATTCTGAAGTGAGGAATTGCAGAGGTGGGTCAGATAAAGAGCTGATTTTCCGGGCCAGGTGCCTGGCTTAGATTTGGCCATTTTGAAGAGTGAACAAAATAAGATGCTTTGGTTTTACCCTTGAGCAGACCATCTGGAGTTGTCCCTGCACCTGGGGCTGCACCCAAGGAGGGAGTCCCATAGCCGCCTTTTCCATGCCCAGAGCTCCTCCTTGTCTCGGATGTTTCTACAGGTGTCTGTAATCTAGAAGATTAGACGCTCAGGATGGGGCGGGTTTGTATGGGACCAACGATACCACCTGTGAGCCGGAGAAAGGCACCCACTTGTCAGGTCTCACGCCAACCCCTCCTTCATTTCAGGTGGGTTCTCTCAACATCAAATGCCTGTCAACACCGTGCCATACTTCAGGACACATCTGTTACTTTGTGAGCAAGCCTGGTGGTTCAGAGCCCCCTGCTGTGTTCACAGGTGAGCTTGCCAGGGTGTGGGGGCCAGGTGGTCCTTGTGAAGTCTTCATGGCTCGTGGCCTGGAATGCCCGCGCAGAGAAGCAACTTTTCCTACCAGGAAGACTTGCAGGGCTGCTCTCCTCCACCCTAAATGCTGTGTGGAGGACCATAGCCCTAAGCCTGGGTGTTGGCTTCAGGCGCATTCTAGCCTATCAGCAGGTAGTGCTGGGGAGTCGGGGCACCCCTTGAGCCCTCAGCATGTGGTGGCTGCTGTTGTATGCCTGGGGGGACAGCCTCCCACTCTTCCAGCAGCAGACAGATGGCCTGGCCTGAGCAGGAGGCCTTATCAAGGGAGACCCCAGGGTGCCAAGTGCTCCTCTCACACACCCCTGAGACCTGTGAGAGCCAGGACAGGTGCAGCAGAGGCGGTACCCCAGCCCCAGTCCCCATGTCCTACTTGCAGTGATGTGCAGAGCCAGCAACCCCATGGGGCAGTCAATGGTTGAGAGAGTTTGGGAGCTGCTGTGGTGGCTGTGACCCTCACTGAGCTTGGTGGGGCCCTGGGCCAGTTTCCCAGGTGGTGTGTATGTTGTAGCTACTCAGGACACAAAGAGGTATATCTAGCAATCTCAGGAATTTCCCCTTTCTGAGAGGAACCAAAATAATACTGATGCTGATGTACAGGTGGCCAAGCAGCAAGCGCCAGAACAAGGGCAGAGGGCCAGGCCTGCTGTTCAGCTTCATGAGGGACTGTGGTACCAACTCGAATTTTGCAGGAATTTAGGTCACATACGAGTTTAGAGAGACTGGCTGAGTGCATCTGGGGTTCTTCTGGGAAATGGGTTACAGTGGCTAGGATGGAGGTCCCAGTGGTGTGGGGCGCAGATGTGCCTGGGTAACCAGGGTGACGTGAGCCTGAATGAAATGCTTAGGGTATGGATGGGGGTCTGTAGCTTTTCTTTTTCTTTTTTGGGGTCATTTTTTGAGACAAGGTCTCACTGTGTAGTTCACGCTGGCCTTGAACCCAGGGTGGCCTCGAACTTGTGGCAATCCTCCTGCCTCAGTCTCCTGAGAGCTGGGATTACAGGCGTGTGCCTCTACTCCCAGCTAGAGTCTGTAGCTTTTCTGTAAAACTAAAATTATTTCACAACCTGTGCTTATTTTTAAATACAGTTGTATGGACTTTCCTTTTCTTCAGTGCAGTAGCATATGATGTTGGCTGGGGACCTTGGGCCTGTACCAGGTTCTGGGTCTGCTTTTTTCACCCTCAGAGCAGAGTTTCTACCTTATCACATGGTGGCCTGGAGGAGATCTTGGCCGGTGCTTACATTTTTGCTGTGGCCAGTGAGATTGGGTGGGGTCTCCCCGAACTGCAGTTGTTGCTCTGGCAAAATGGTGACACCTGGGTGGCCCTACCACGTGACTCAAGGTTAGGTAAGCAGGTGTGGAGTTGGCCCAGCCACCCGACTTGCGTGGCTGGGTGCCCCTCAAATGCCCTTGTCTGCCCTGTCAGTCAGCCCAGGTTTGTCACAGGTTCAGGGAACCATAGCAGAAGGCCATGGGCCTTGGGAGGGGCCTACACAGTCCAGGGCTCTGAATTTGGAGGTGCCATGGAGGGTGACTGCCGTGGGGTACCAACCTGCTTGTTTTGCGCCTGTTACTGTCGTGTGTGGTGCAGCAGCTGGCAGCCTGACTTCCAGAATGATCCTGTGCAGATTGACAGTGTCCTCCAGGATAAGTGCAGGCCCTGAGTGAGGTCTGACGGTGGGAAATGGACTGTCCAGCAGGACCCACCCGGCACAATCCAGGGCGTTCAGCTGAGCTGAGGGTGGGCAGAGGTGGAGAAGGTGACAGACCAGAGAAGGGCGTGGTGGGAGGGACTGGTGCTCCTGTAGCTGCAGAGGAGGATAAGGCAGGCATTCAGGATGAGATGGGCAGGCAGGGCGGGGCCTGAGGATCAAGTTTAAGGTCTCAGGGATCCCGCCTCAGGGCAGTGAGGCCAAGCAAGGACCCAGGAGTGGTGTAGCTGGCCAGGGAAGGGAAGGCTGCAGTGGATGCTAACTGTGGTGCCCAATGAGGCAGGCCAGAGTGAAGAGTCCTGGCGTATGTAGGGATGGCCCCAGAAGGCTGAGCTGGGGGCCAGGGCAGTGTGAGGCCTGCAGGGGAGTGGTCACCTCAGGTGCTCCCAGCAGCAAAGGGCAGGCCCAGCCAGAACCTGGGTGCTAAGGGAAGGGAAGAGGGAGAAGGCGGGCAGAGGCTGGCAGGTGGGTGGGGAATATTTGTGAGGTGGGACAGGGGGCTATGAACATGGGGTTAGGGTGACCTTCGTTTCAGGCCTGACCAGCTGGTTGTTTATCCACGGCACCGTATGAGACCTGAGGCAGAAGGTTTGGGCACGCTTGTGTGTGTCTGGGTGGACACAGGCAGTGGTCAGTGAACTCATTCCTCCAGCCGCAAGGCCAGAAGCTGTAGCCAGGTTCCCTGGCCTCTCTCGAGCCTCAGCCAGCTGCACAGGTGGCTCCACCGCATGGCTGCTGGTGTTTTCCAGGTGACACCCTGTTTGTGGCTGGCTGTGGGAAGTTCTTCGAAGGGACTGCGGATGAGATGTACAAGGCACTGCTCCTGGTCTTGGGTCGGCTCCCTCCAGAGACGGTGGGTTGCACCCCTGGTCTGTGGGGTCCCACTCTGTGTGGAGCATCGCACGTCCTGGGGCCACTCTTGGGAGGCCAGGAGAATTGCACGGCTGCACAGGCCCCACCTGGAGCTGGGAGAGCAAGCAGGCCGAGGTGGCCCCTTACGTGCTTCTCATCGATATTTAACATACGCTCAAGCATGTCCCGCCCTAAGGGATGGCCCCATGGGTGTCCACTAGCTGTACTCACCCCATGAGGTACCCAGGTCAGGGCAGGGACATGAGCCAGCCCAGAGCCCTCAGGGCCTCCCTAGGATTGCCATCCCCGTGGAACTCATGTCCCGACTCTTTTCCCAGAGAGTCTACTGTGGCCACGAGTACACCATCAACAACCTCAAGTTTGCACGTCACGTGGAACCCAGCAACACTGCCATTCAGGAGAAACTTGCCTGGGCTAAGGTGAGTGAGAGCCACAGCCAGGGCGTGTCGTGGCACCGTGACCTCCCGAGGGCCCTGCTCTCCAGGGTCTGGGTGCTGGCGCTCACAGTTCTGTCTGTAGAGTGGGTAGAAGTGTGTCATGCCAGCCTGATGCCTCTTAGCTTCTCTGACTCGCTGGGTGCCCTGGGGACTCTGCTCCTGCATTTCTAACAAGCACCAAGGCTAAGCTGCAGGTTCTGGCTGGTTTCCCACACTCTGAGCAGTGGAGTTAGAGGAAACTGTATGGCGAAGCCATCTCTATTATATAATCATATAGTTTTACTTTAAAAATCTTTCAGTATGGTGGTTTACACTGACCAGTTTCCAAATGGAAAACAAGCCTTTCTAGTTACCTCTTGGTCATGGTATATTACTCTTTTATCTTGTTACTGGTTTTCTATTTTAGGGTCTTTATTCATAAGAGATATTGTTCTGTAGTTTTATTTTCTTAAATATCTGTGTTCACTTTTAGTATCAGCATAGTGCTGACCTCAAGAGTTGGAAAGTTTCCTCCTATTTTTGGAAAGATTTTTTTTTTTTGAGACAGGGTCGTGTTATATGATTCAGGCTGGCCTTGAACTCACTATACAGCCCAGGCTGGCCTTGAATTTGAGGCATTCCTCTTTGGAAGAGTCAGCTGTCTTGTCTCAGAGGTGGAGGGAGATGTAGGAAGAGAGATAAAATTGCAGGATGCTAGAGAATGTCACAAAACAGTCCAGGATTGTTTTTCCCAGAAGGAGTAGAGAAAAGACATAGTGATCAGTCTTTACTGTGACTGCTCCTGATCCCATCCTTGGTGAACCTCTAGTGGCCGCAAGAACATTGTTTGGTGCCACACTCCAGAGGAGGAAGTGTGGGAAGTGAGGGCCCCTGAGGGTGCCAGCAGCCTCTGTCACAGGCTGTCCCCGTGCCCTACTGTTAGCGTGGCTGTAGAAGCACCGCGGCTGCATGGAGACTCGTAGTTGCTCCCTGCCCTGACCAGGCCACCTCTCTGACTGCTCCTCTCCCCCGGTCAGTGCTGCTCAGTGGTGGGGCATCTGTAGAGGAGGTGACAGCCAGTTGCCCCTAGGATTCCACAAGCCTTCCTGGGGCACTTCCTGACTCCCGGTGCCCTGAGAGCTGGCAGGACAGGAGCCTGGTCAACCCTGTGCTGAGGGTGAGCCCACCTCCCTCCAGATGGGCCATCACCCCCATGCTTTCTTCCTTCCTGTTCGTGACTACTTCTAGCCTGTGAAACTTAAGCATCATAGTCATAAAGAGAAAGCTCCTCCTCCCCTCCCCACGCCTGTAGCACTGGAAGAAGGGAGGCACAGTGGTCCCAGAAGCTCACCCCCTCTGTGTGGCTTCCTGCCCACCCTGTCCTCCATAAGCAGGAGAGACCTGACTTCACGGGGGAGAGTATGAGTTGGGGACCCACCATGCTGGCCCTCTGCCTGCTGTACCTTCTCATTTGGACTTTTGAAGATCACTAAGAGGTATTCGAAATGACATGACGGAGGTGTGTCTTGCAGGAGAAGTATGCCAGTGGGGAGCCCACGGTGCCATCCACACTTGCAGAGGAGTTCACTTACAACCCCTTCATGCGCGTGAGGTGAGGGGCCCCTGCAGCCGCTGGCGTGCTTTCACCCCAAGCAAAGAGCTAAATCGTGTCAAGCTCCCAGGTGGGTGGGCCTGACCTTTGTCCCTAAATGAGAGGAACACTTTTGGTGCCTTGGCAAAGATCTGGAGTCCCTCTGTCCCTGGGGCTCTAGGACCTACAAGCAGGGAGCAACTGGCAGGACCCTGAGGCTCTGGGCCCTGGGCAGTGAAAGACTACATGGTCATGGCTTCCACCTTCTGCCCCGCTGGGAGGACCTGGCGCAGGCTTTCAAGTCTCACACAGCGGAGACAGCTCCCGGCCCCTCCGAGGCCTGTGTGCTGTGTGTAACCTGTAGCCTGCCTGCCTTCTCACCTCCTCAGGGAGAAGTCGGTGCAGCAGCATGCAGGTGAGGTGGACCCTGTGACCACCATGCGCGCCATCCGCAGGGAAAAGGACCAATTCAAGGTGCCGCGGGACTGAGGGGGCCGCCCCCAAATCTACCACCTCCAGGCACTTTTAGGGAGTGGGATCCCCATACCAAAAAAAAAAGACTGTCCTGCTGGTCATGCAAGAAATCCAGTCTTGGTTTAATTTTAAATTAATTTCAGAGCTCTTACCTGTGTATCAAATGTTCTAATGCATATTTATAAGAGAAAAAGTTTAAATGTATTTATTCCCATAACCTCTGTTTGCTGACTCTGTGTTGTCTCTTGTCTTAACCCACTTTACCCACTGCCTCTCTGCCAAGTGATAGCCGAACTGCTCAGAACAGCACTCAAGGAGGGTCTGGGCAGTCCCCTTCCCTGGTCCCTCCTTTGTCCTGGCTCTGCAGGGAGACAGAGGCAGCTGGCATCGCCCTGGGCCCAACTTCCTGTGCCTTCCTCTGGAGGAACTGGTACCCTTGTGGCCCTGTGTTCTCATTTCTGTGATTGTGTCAACATGAAGTGAACTGACTCGAGCCCTTTGAGAGCAGAACCCATCCCAGCCTGCTCCTGGGTTGGGAAGTCTCCAGCTCTGTTGCTATGCATGAAGCCAGCCCTCTGCCCTGGGTGAACTCCTAGCTTGGCCACTGTAGCCACGTGTCTGTGTCAACGTGGGCCACCTGTCCTGAGTTCTGAGCAAGCATCAGGCAGCGGCTGAAAGACACCCTGCCCAAGTTGCCCAGAGTCTCTGCCGTGGAGTGACATCGTGCCGAGGTCAGTGCTCCTCACGTGCCATCCCCAGCCCTGCAGAGGCTTTGCTTTCTGCAGGCCGGTCCTGAGCAGTCTGCATCACAGTGGTACACTGCCTTGGCCTGCAGAGGGGCCAGCCGTACACCCAGGACTCCTGCCTGGTGGCGAGCAGGTGTCCTGGGTGTAGCTTTGGCCGAGTGCCACCGTACTGTCAGATCCAGGCAGGATGGTCCTGTGGTTCCTGCCCATGGTCTGAGTCTTGTCGCTGCGGCAGGCTGGGACCTGGGACTCCAGGTGAGCATCCGTGTGACTTAGCTGAGGAAAACTCTTCCTGGCTGTCCTCGGAAGCCACTCTCCCAGGTATCGCTCTGCCTGTGACCTCCGTCTGAGCCTGGGGCTTGACAGAGATGTGGGCAACCCCTGGGCTCTGGTCACAGCAGCAAATCACGCTGCGGGAGAAAGGGCGGGGTCGATTGAGAGGCAGCAGCGGCGGCCCAGATGCTAGTGGTACTCTGTGGAAGGGGATGCGACGAGGTGCGAAGGCGCGGCCCGGGACCTCCCTGGGTCGGAGGAGGAGCGTCTGTGTCTGACAGTGAGGTCAGGCCCCGCAGCCCGTCCCTGTGTGCGTACATTGCACGCCCGCCTCTCCCCTTGTCAGGGTCACAGGGGCTTGTCCTGACCTGGCTCCGCTGGGGGCCACACTGCTGTGGGGTTAGAACCCTGGACACTTCAGAGTGGCGCGAGAACCACACAATCTCGTCACTCAGTGATGATGGCAGGGGAGCCCGCATCCCCACCTGTACCCAGCGATGTCATACAGTGGAGTTTGCACGTCCCTAGCCCAGCATTCCGCCTTAAAGGTCGTACCAGCACCCAGGCTTGTACTTGGTACAGACCCTCAGCAGCCGTGTGATGCTGTGTCCAGGCCGAGTTCCAGCTCTCCTGCGTGCCGCAGTGGGCACAGGCACCCTCTAGATGGCGTCCCCAGAATGGCTGCCTTTGAGGTGTTTAGCAGCTGCCACAGCACTTCGCAGGTGGCTACAATCCTGCTGTCCTTCCCTCCCGCACAGGAGCAGTGCCTTTCATTGTGGCTCGGCCCAGCACAAGGGAGCCAGTCCAGCAACTGTCTGTGAATTGCCACCACCCCATTCCCAAATAATGGGTGGTTCTGCGGGTCCTTCTGGGACTTGGCTTTGCTTTCAATGTGGCTGGTCCTGACAGTGTGGCAGGGTTAGGGGCTGCTGTTTACCTGCCAGTCGTGGGTACCAGTGTGGTTTCCCATCTGTTGCTGCTGTGAACTGTGGCTTCCTTCCCCGTGGGGGAAGGGTTTCTATGGGATTCATGATGAGAGCCCATTGCTGGGTCTCAGGGAGGTGTTTTCAACTTTTGAAAACACTTCAGCTCATCTACCGAAATCCCGAGTCAGTTCCGCCCTTGTTTATGGGGCAAGGTGCTCTACATCCCCACCAGCAATGGCGCCAAGCTTGTTTCTGGTGGTGGTGTGTATGTGAAATGGTATTTCACACAGGCAGCTGCTGTGTGGGGGCTGCGCTTGTGCATGTGTTGGTGTCCTTGCTGATCTGAGAGTTCCTTCTCTGCTCTAGCCCGCTGCCTGTTTTGTGTGTTCTTTGGTTATGCTGTGTATCGTTAATGGTTTGCGGCTGGCTTTGCAGTCTGGTTGAGAAGCTCTTCATTTCATCTAGTCCAGTGGACCTGTCCTGTTTGTAATGACTGCTTTTGTGTTCGGCTTAACAGCTCTCTTCCTCCCCGTGGGGTGTCCTGTGACCGAAGTCCAAATTCCTTTGTTTTTTGCTTTTCACATTCAGGTTTCTAATTCATGTGAAAGTACTTTTTATGCCTAGCTTGGTTTTAGTTTTAGTTTTGTTTTGGCGGCCATGGGGATAGAACCCTGCATTAGTTAATTTCTCTCATTGCTGAGTCAAAAATACCCAACACCTGAAGCTAAACAGGGGAAAGGTTTATTTGGCTCACAGTTCATAGAGGTTTCAGTCCATCTCTGGCTGGCTCCAAGGCAGAGGGGCAACAGAAGATAGCAAAAGCAACAAGGGAGCTTAACAGCACCTTTCTGCCCCTTTTATTCAGACTACCTAGGGCAGGTAGCACGCACGCCCTTCATCCTAGCGTCCTTGGGCCCAGCCCCACCACGAATCAGTCACGCACTGTAGATTCAGCCATCTCTGAAAAAGGCTTTGGAGGACGTCTCAACACAAGCCATAACATTCTGTCCTCAAAGACTCACGTACACCCCTTTGTGCAAAAGGCATTCAGTCCATTGCCAAGAGTTGCCAAAGTCCTAACAGTTTCAGCATGGCTGAAAAGTCCAAGTCCAAAGTCTCCTCTGAGATTTACAGCTCAAGCCCCTGTACAAAAAGAAAAGGAAGTTAAACACCCAACATTCAATGGCACAAGAAGACATTACCGTTCAAAAGTTACAAATGAGGGGATACAGAGGCATGGGACCAAAGCAAGACCAAAATCCAGCAGAGCAAACATTAAATCCCACAGTTACACTTCCAGCATCCCTGGTGACCTATGGCAAGTTGTGAACTCCAAGGGCTTGGGTGGCTCCGCCTCTACGGTACTGCTGATAATTGTGGCTCCCATGGCTTCCTCCTCGGGCTGGTTCTGATCCCTTCTTGCAGCTTTCCTCCAATGATCCATGCTCCGGGCTTCTCCAAACTCTGGCTTCACACTCAGCTTCCCGCACAGCCCTCTCAGGGGCACTGCCTGGCCTCCCAGCCTGCTTCTGAAATCTGGGCGGAAGCTTTCCTGACCTCACAACTCTTGCGTTCTGCATGCCCCTAAAACCAATGCCATGTGGAGGATGCCAGGGTCTGCTGCCAACTGGAACAGTGGCTAGTCTTCTGTCTCTTTTGGCTATAGGGGTTGAGTGGCTGGATCGCTAAGCACTCTGAATCCAATTCTGAGGAACGAATTCTCTAGGCCATCAGCATTCTGGAATGAGGTGCTCTGGGACTGTCTTCTCAAAGCAAAGTCTTTCACTTTTCCAGTTTTGAGGCTACAAAGGGTAGAGTCCTGCTGGTTCTTTTGTTTGTTTGGTTTTGTTTTCCTCGTACCAGGGACTGAACTCTGGTCCTTGTGTTTAGAGGCTGGCAGTGGAACCACTGAACTTAATCCCTGGCCCTCCTGCTGGTTCTTGTGATGCCCTCAGGCCATTTTTTCTATTCTGTTCCTTCTCAGCAATCAAGATCTCCTCTGTTCTGATCTTTGCAGGCCCCGACTTTACCAGAGTTTCCTTTCTAGCTAAACTTACAACATTTTAAATCATTCTGGGCTCTTTGCTCTTGATTCTCAACATCAATCTGGCTAAAAGCCCCCAACAGTACCTAAGCCACAGCCTCAACATTAGACTGCCTTGAAATTTCTTTTGTCAGATTAATCAGTCTGCCACCCTTAATCTCAGTCTCAGGCAAAGTCTCTGGACACAAGCAAAAAGCAGACAAACTTTCTGCCGAGTCATCACACACGTCATCTGGAGTCCAACAGCCAGTGCAGTCCTTCCTAGAAGAATCCTGAGCCTGGTCTTCACAGGCTTCTCGGTCTTGAAACTCTGATCAGAGTCTCCCATGCAGTTCAGCCTACTCTGCTTCTTCAGCCAGACTTTCCTTGAGCCATTCCCAAAGGCCTCTGAACCTCAGGGTCAGGTAACATCACAGAAACGACCCGGCTTCTCTGGTACCAGAATTAACCCCGAGCCTTGCACACGTGAGACAAATGTTAAACTGAGTTGGGCTTCCGGATGGGGCTTCCTAAATTGCTTCTAACTATGATCCTCCTGCCTCATCCTCCTAAGTGGCTGAGATTATAGGCCACCACATCCAGTTTTGGTACCTAGTTTTTATTCCCACAGAGGATAGAAACCCAGGTATCCCCACCTTTGGCTACACTGCTGGCTTCTGCAAGTATAGACCATCTTATGTATCTGTGGGCTGGCAGAGGCTCACGTATTGCGTGGCGGCCCCATATTCTCTTAGTTGCTATAGCTCTAGGATAATTCTTTATCCCAAGGAGGGATGTCAGCCCACCTCATCGGCAGAAGTCTGGGGCATCCCAGCCCTTTGCTCTTACGAAGAGATGCTAGGCTGTTTTCTTTAGATGAGGACCAGGACAGTGCTAGCTCAGGCTGGAAGGGAGCTTTCGCATTGTACAGTTCAAATTACAAAACACGCGGATTGTTTGCTTAGCCCGTTGCTGCTGTGGTACCACAGTATGGTCCTGAAACCCAGGGAAAGGGCTTGGTCCCCACTGCTCTGCCCTCGCCTCAGATGCCAGCCTAGACGCCCTTACTTTTAGAATGACTCAGAGCTCGGAAAAGTGCTGTGCTTGGGATCACGGCTTTTTACAGACACACTGGGAGGGCCCCGGGGGAGACACCCCCAGAGCTGGGCAGGGCTCCTGTCCTGAACCTCTGTGCCCTGTCACTGGTGTTCATACTGGGATGCTTGGTGTGGCATCTGCCAGGTCACCACAGAAGCACTGCTGATGGAGTCACTGGCCACATGGGTAGACTTGGGCGCTGACAGCCTCCCCTCCCCGGAGGTCTGGTGGCCGTGGCCCTAAGTCCCGTGCTTGGTCTGTTTGGTGACCACCCCCGTCCCGGGTTTCTTGTTAGCATCAGCTGGGGTGTGAGCCAGAGTCCTGAGGGTGACAGATGGAAATTCTGAGGGCTTTGAGGTTTTATCATTTTCTCCCGATGGCCTCCCATGTAGTTGGGATTACAGGTCTTGTCTCCCGGCGTTTGCTGCTGTTCTGCATGGGGTACTCAGCAGAGGCACCCTGACTCTGTACAGGGAGCCCGCAGGGTGGGCTTGAGGGTGGGCAGCGCAGACTGAAGGCTGACTCCCATGGGTACCAGTGTGCTCTGAATAACTTAGTGCTTACGGCGCCTGTGTTCTGGAGGAGTGAGCACCAGTGGAGCACACCAGCCTGCCGCTCTCAGATACGGTGGCGGGGACACCTCTCCCAGAAGAAACGGAGTACGGATTGAGATGGTGGAAGAGAAATGCCAAGGCCTGCAAAGTGCCGGCAAGTCTGAAGGTAGGGACAAGTGGGGCCGTGCAGATCTCTGGACCCTGGTGCCTACCCTAAGGAGCACCAGTGTGCCCTGGCTGGACAGGAAGCCAATTCTAGACCTGTTCCAGGATTTCTGATGCCTGTGGGAGGAAGCAGGTCTGTCCTCTCAAGTCAAGCTCTGACCTTGGTGGTGGGGAACAGTGGGGTCCCCCAGGGAATGCCACGCAGGGGACAGGGCTGGCTGGGAGGGGGCTTGGGAGCTCTGTGGGATTGGTGGGATGGTAAAGTGAGTGTCTTGTGAACTGGGCGGGAGCAGTAGTTCAGGACGAAGTCCCACACCCAGAGAATTGCGGTGAGGCTGAGTCCAGAGATCAAAGGTCAGAGAGATGATTAGGGGCCTAGCAGGCAGGGAGAAAACGAGCAGCCTGCTACAGGTTTCACAAGCAGGGCCGAGGCTCAGCACCTGTTAATGATCCCCTTCTGATCTGATAAATTATCTGAACAGATTTTCTGATACTGTTATATTTCTTTGGGCTAAATCCAATTTCACCATAATTTGTTGCTAGATTCAATTTACGGATTCCTCTTTGGTACAGTTCCCATCTGGCTTTGATGTGTGCAGTGTTTCTGCTTTCCTTAGGGGTTTATCGAAGGTAAGTCTGGTCTTCTGCTGGGAAAGCCTCTGAGCCTGTTTCTGCTTGTTTGTTGGGTTCCGGGGCTGGAAACTGGGCCTCCTGTGTGCTAGGTCAGTGTCCACCACTGAGATACCTTGGCCCCTGTGGATAATTGTTTTTTTCAGTGGTTATTGGGCTATGATTTATAGTTTTTTGTTCATTGTTTTACATTTCCCAATCAGGTAGATCTGTACTCCCTAGCCTGGGCAGCCTGTCTCTGTCTCTCTCCTTTTTTGGCACTGCTAGGATAGAACCCAGGGCCCTCTCATGTTCAATACAGAAGCTACTCCTCAGCCCCATCCTGTCCTTTGCTTTCTTAATTCTGGGTGCTCCTGGGCCTCTCACCTCTTTTGCTAAGGCAAATGTGAAGCCAATTTCCCTTTATGTGCCCAGGGTCTACACTACAGAGGTTGGCTGTATCATTTTATTACTTTACCTGCCACCAAAGTCCAGCACTGTTAATGATTTTAAAAACTCAAATCAGGGGCTGAGGATTTAGCTCAGTGGTTCCTCCACCTGCCTCGCAAGCACATACGTAGGACCTGAGTTTGATCTCTGGCACAAAAAAAAAAAAACAAACAAAAAACCAAAACAAAAAACCAAACCAAACCTCAAATCAGGGCTAGAAGGCACATCCTCAGCATGAGGAAGGGATCTGTGTTTCTCCTTTCTGCTACCAAAAGCCACAACTTCTGTGACTGAGAACACCAAAGTGTCCTTTTAGCTCTGGATATCAGAATTTGTACAGAAGCTCTCTTGGGCCAAGGTCAAAGTGTCAGCAGGGCTGGTTCCTTGGGGAGGCTTCAGGAGACAATGTGTCCTTGTCCTCCTTAGCTTCTGCTCTCCACTCCAGGCTCCCTCCATCCGTACGGCCGGCAGCAGTGGTGAGTCCTACCCTGGGCCATACCACCAACTTCTGTCGGCTTCCACTTGAGGACCTGGTGGTGACACTGGGTTCACCTGGAGTCTTCAGATCAGCTGATCAGCAACATCAGTTCCCTAACACAGCTTCTAGGAATTAGGACATGGGCATCTTTGTGGGAGAACATCACCCTGCCCAGTACAGAATTTATGCAAAGCATATAGTAGCACCGACTGGTGAGTGACTGAATGCTTCCCTCTAAAATCCCACAAGGCACAGATGTCCACAACATGCAGTAAGGCACATGGTAAGACAGGATTATAAACCTACAGAAAGGAAAAAAGTAAAAATGTCCTTGTTCACACACGAGACAACCGTATACACAGCAGATCATAAGGAATACAGATTCACGTGCACCTGGAATGGGAAAGCCCTGCAGAGTCCTGAGATACAAGATTATAAATTCATTGTATTTCTGTATACTAACAGTCCATCAGTGAAGTTAAGAAATTCACAATAGCACCAAAACTAATAAAATATCTTAAGAATGCTAACAAAGGAAATAAGACTTTTCTTTCCTTCCTTCCTCTTTCCCTCCCTCCTTTTCTAGGAATTGAGCTCAAGGGCCCTTGTACTCAACTATACTCCCACCTCTTTTTTTTTTTTTTTGAGACAGGATCTAAATTGGACTAACTGGGCTTGAATTTGCAGTCTTCCTGCCTCAGCCACCCAAAATGCTTGGATTAAGGTGTGCACTACCAAACGCAGCTAGAACTATAGGATTTATATACTGACAAGATTGATATACAGGACAGGGCTGGAGGGTGTAGCTCAGTGGTGGAACACTCACCTAGCAGTGCAAAGCCCTGGGTTCCGTCCCCAGGTCCCAAAAACGAATACATGGAAAGGTGTTCTGTGTTCAGTGATCAGAAGAGTACTGTTGAGATTCCATTACTACCCTAGAGGCTTAGCAGGTCCAGTGCAATTGCTTCAAAATTCCAAAGGCTTTTTATTTTATTTATTTATTTATTTATTTATTTATTTTTTATTT